AGAACAAGAACAAGAACAAGAACAAGAACAAGAACAAGAACAAGAACAAGAACAAGAACAAGAACAAGAACAAGAACAAGAACAAGAACAAGAACCACAAGAACAACAAGAACAACCACAAGAACAACCACAAGAACAACCACAAGAACAATAAGAACAGCAATAAGAACAACAAGAAGAACAACAAGAACAACAACAATCAACAAGGAGGGTATCATGGTTTGGAGGCAAATAGTTCTTCCTTGTCATACTAGATGGAGGGATCCAAGGTCTTTGGAAATGTGAGTTCTAGGGCTCTGAGTTCCCATTGGATAGATCCTTTGTAGCCTATGAGTTGGAGGTGTTGGGATCTGGAGGTTTTCCTGGGTGGGGATTTATCAGATATTTGCTCATGGTTGGACTTTTCTTGGGCACTCCACTCAGGAGGTGTTTAGGTGATTTACTAGTATAATATTTCTTAGACGACAACATTCTTAGTGGTGTCGACTCACTTTTGTGAGGTGTCTGAGGATCCTCTCCTGTTGTTGTTGTTGTTGTTGTTGTTGTTGTTGTTGTTGTTGTTGTTGTTGTTGTTGTTGTTGTTGTTCTTGTTCTTGTTCTTGTTCTTGTTCTTGTTGTTCTTGTTGTTGGAACACAGTAGTTGACACCAGAGCTCTGAGGATTTTGGGAACTTTGTACCTTATTCTTTGCTCTACAAGATTTAGTGCTGGGTTCTCAATCTGGAATTGTTTCAAAATTCTTTGGGAAAATACTCAAGCTCAGAAAGCAACAAGTTCTTGCTCTACAATTGAGGGAAAAGACAGTAAATCCAACTGCCTTGTTGGTTGACTTACTTGTGCTGATGTTCTGATGATGGTTGTTGGTTGAGGTAAGTCTGTTGCTCAGAACCTGCAAAATGTATGTGTGCTCTTCAGTTGTGTACTGTATGACACTTGGTTTACAATAAAGAGTGAGTGGCTTATTGCTCACTCACTGTCTACTCATGATTTACTTGTCTCATAAAGACTACTGTAGTACTCTGGATCAAACATGAAGACAGCATCATAAATGGGTGATTCCCATTATTCTAAATACTCTAAAATGCCATATGTAGGGATCTAGGGTATTTAGAATAACGGGAATCAAAATTTCAACATACAGACTGAGAGGCAGCCTGCCTTCATACCAGTCTTTTTGGGAATCCAGAATCTTAAATACTCCAACGTAATGACTAAAAATAGGCACCCGCACCACTTGGTACAAAGAAAAACACAAAATTTTCAATACGGTACTMGTGAAAGGAACACACATATTATTGATGCTTTCATAATTTTGCATAAAAATATGTACATTCCTTGCACTAGTAGATAGTTGACAAACAATTACTAACAGCCACACTATAAGACCAGACTTTCCCCCTAGCAAGAAAGAACACCACAATGGGAGTAGTGGAGGTCATTACAATGCACTGGTACATTCAACTGCATAACCAAAGTTACAAAGAGAAGCTCTCTTCATAGGAGCGTTGCAGGAGGGATAGGAGAACACCATGGATTACAATGTGGAGATACACCAATTCCCCCTTCCTCCATTTCTTTCACTCAGGGGACAACCATGCACTRCTYAACTGTTGTGGTATAGACCACAAAGTCTACATGGAGCTTGTGGATGTTTTTGCTCCAGTCTACAACAAGTATACTGTCACTTACAACAATGACATTGTRGAGGTTCCTTSTTACCCCAGTGAGAAGCCCAAGGGAAAGAAGAGAGAGGTCAATGCAGTCTGTGCTATTGGAATGGTCCTTTATTGGTAAAGGRCAARAGRATCTGTAGCAAGRTTGATGGCAATGGCATTTGGCTTGACATAAACAGTGATGTACAAGTGGCTCAAGTTTTCAAGGAGAGTGATGCTTGTTGCTYGTCACAAACACMTGGAGGCCATGRTCAGTGTTCCAACTGRTGATGAACTGATGCAGAAAAACCCTACAAGAAAAATGATCTTGCAACAGGCTTCTTCTATGTAGGTTGTGAGCTGTCTCCAGATGCAAATGGCTTGTTTTGAGGTCTCYGGATGCAATTGGCTTGTTTTGAGGTCAAATTGGTCTCTTTAGCAATTTCTCTAGCCTCCTTTGCAAACTTAGAATGCTCTAAAGCTATCTCACAGTTTTCTTTGTCCCTTTCTTGCTTGCACTTCAAATACTCATTGAATGCAGCAGCATCATCTGGAACTTTTGAATATGGTCTCTTATTTGGAGTAGCCGATTGTACAACAAGGCYGCAACAACAAAGACTCTTTGCTTGTTCCACCATCACCAACAAGGATAATGGGTGCTCTTCTGTTGGACACTTCAGCAGGAGAGATCCTCTTGAAACCCTCCTCAGCCTCACTCTTAATGAAGCCTTTCTTCATGTCAAAGTCCTCCTCTCCGGTACYRATATTTGCTTTCTTTCCAATCAAGAAATGGGTCTGCCTTGCAAGCTTCACATACCTAGGCATATTGAGGTTACTGGYTGAGCTTTTCCTTGTTTTYATGGATTTGTACTTGTTAATGGATTTCTTGCTTCTGTCAAAGGGAAACTTTACAGCATGTTTGGTGACAASARYAKTMYWCYRCTGYT